GTCCAAGCAAGGTGATTTGCATTCACTCCCTTGCCTCCCCCAGGCTCATGGAGCCTTCACTCATGGTGTTCAGTCTGGAGTCTGAGCTTGCTAGTCTCTCACTAAATCCTGCTCTGTGACCCAGCCCAGTGATTGCACCTGTCACTCCTGAGGGGCCTGTAGAGCCATCTCCAACTGCCATAGTTACTTGAACTGGCGCTGCTGCTGCCAGTACCAGGGTTGCGTTGATGGTGTGGGGGGGGCAGGTGACATAGGATTTTGGTTTGGCTTGATGCTTTCCCCCAGGCAGCCTGATTTCTCAGGAACAGGCTGAGCCAGTAGTCCATCACCCCTGCCAAGGTGGGATTTTCAGGCACTGTTCCTTGAGGTTAGAGCCAGGTGAGTAGTAAGGTATCATATCACCTGTCAATATGATTTATTATTCATCCTTGAACTTGACCCCCTCAAATTTGACTTCCCATCAACGTCACCCCACCATCTTGACCCCCACCCCAGGAAGAAGGCCTAGCCCAAGAACCAGCCACCAGGGAGGGAGGGGACCTGTGGCTCATAGGTGGTCACTTCCCTCCCCTGGCAGCTGTGTCTTGGGGTGGGACTTCCTCCTGGGGATGGGGGTCAAGATGGTGGGGTGACATTCAGGGGAAGTCAGGTTTGGGGAGCAAGTTCAAGGGGGTTCAAGTTCAAGCAAGGGTAATAAATCATTTTGAGAGGTGCTATGCTACCCTTCTACTCAGGTGGTCAGAGATGTAACAAAAGTAGGAGGGAACAACTAGAGCATAGGAGTCCTACACTTGATCCAGGATGCTGAGCCACTCATCGCTGCTGTTTCCTACTGCTCTCCTCCCCATAGACTTCCATTTCTCCCTCTTTTATACCTGCCACGTGTAGTCACTTCCCCACTGGGCCCTCCCCTAGGTGCACCCTCTTCATTCAAAGCTGGTTCACTCTGCCTGCCATGGATAAAGCCTCAATGCTGAAGTCTACTGGTAACACATGTGTGGGTCAGCATTTGTGTCTTCCCTCACCCAGCTGTGTCCTAACAAGGCCATAAGGGGATGTCATGGATGAACTTTGCTCTGGAGTGCTGGCTGTACCCCCCACCCCCAGGTAACCATATTAGTAATTATATTATGAATATAAAGTATAGATGTATATATCATCTACCATCTTAATTAATGAATTAATACTTCATTTGAAAACTAATCCCTATGGACATCCCAGTTTAAATCCACCTGTTTATTCCAGTTTTAGGTATTCCCTATTAGGGGGAGGGGGGTTCTAAATCTAGTTTTACAATTACCTTGATTTATTTAAACTTTAAAACTGATTAATCTCAATTGAAAAAAATCATCTTATTGATACAGAATCTGGTAAATTAAAGTTATTCTATTGGACTTTTATGAAATTATTTATAATTAAGTGATTTTTTTTCAACTCAATTCTGTTGATTTGATTGTATTTTCTGTTTAATTTGCCCAGTTGTTATTATTGATTAACTGTCACTTTGCACTTTATCTTACATGTCACGTATAAATTGGAGACTGAAGTCCTGTCACCCAGGTTAAATGAAATGAAATTATTTATAATTAAGTGATTTTTTTTCAACTCAATTCTATCTTGTTGATTGTATTTTCTGTTTAATTTGCCCAGTTGTTATTATTGTTTAACTGTCACTTTGCACTTTATCTTACATGTCACGTATAAATTGGAGACTGAAGTCCTGTCACCCAGTGAATGTTAAATGAATAACATACAAATTATTAGGGGCAGAAGAAGGTATGGCATTGGCACTGCAGCAATCAAACCCGGAAGAATGGGGGACAGATGTTTGAACGTTGTCCCTTATTCTAGCTCTGTTGCCAGCAGCCAGCCTCGAGGTAACTCGCTCAGACAACCTTCCACTTTGTTCTTGATGTTGTTAAATGCCAGATCTGCCTTGAATAAATCCCAGTTTATTCCAGACTTAATCTTGGATGAAGTGGCAGATCTGGCCTGTATTACTGAGACCTGGTTGGGCATAGAGGGTGGTGTAGCCCTCTCTTTAATCTGCCCACCTGGATATTCCATCCAACCCCAGGGTAGACTGGAGGATCAGGGAGGGGGAGTTAGCATTATTTATAAAAACACCTTAGAAGTTGTCAGGGTCTCTGCCTTGATAATCCTAGACCTGGAGGCCCTCCATGTGTTGGTGGGGACCAGGGATGGTTTGGAATGGTGCTGGTCTACAGGGCTCCCCGTGATTCAGCACCCTCCTTTCCGGAGGAAGGCTGATAAGGGCAAAACTTCCTTGTTGGTCCTCCTCAATCTGTCAGTGACTTTGATACTGTATCTTCCTGGGAGGATCTCTGCATTGGGGATTGGAGGTCTGGCCTTAGCCTGGCTCCAGTTCTTTCTCGAGGACAGTCCTCTGAGAATACAGCTTTGGAACATACTATCTGCTCCTTGGGCTCTTAATTGTGGAGTCCCACAGGGGTCGATCAATCATCTCTCCAGTGCTGCTTAATATCTATATGAGGCTTTTGGGAGAGATCATCATGGGTTTTGGAGCTTTGTGTCACCAATATGCAGATGGCACTCAGCTCTATCTCTCCTTCCAGCCTTCTGCAATGGGTGCTGTCCTGTTTCTTGAGTGCTGCATGGATGCTGTGCTAAGGTGGATGAGGGATAATAGACTGACGCTGAACCAGGACAAGGCAGAAATCCTGTGGGTGGGTGCCCCTAGTTTTTGCAGTCTGGGACATCCACTCTTTCCCCAAAGGATGATGTTCACAGCTTATGCATTCTCCTGGACTCAGTGCTATCAATGGAATCTCATATAGTGTCTTTGATCCATTCTGCCTATTTCCGTCTAAGGCCGATTGCCCAGTTGCATCCCTACCTCCTGGTTCATGCATTGATAGTCTCAAGATTAGACTATTGTAGTGCTCTCTATGTGGGGCTGCTCATGGAACTGCTTCGGAGACTTCAGCAGGTTCAGAACATGGTGGC